ACAACTTTAAAATAAATCTTTTAAATATTAATATTATAGGAGTGCAGTAATTTAAAAGTTGTATAATGAATTCATAAATAAGAGAGAAGAATAAAGACTATTTGGGGAATAATTACTTACTAAAGAATGAGAAGAATTAATTACCCTATTTTGATTTTCATATTTGCCTAAAACAAGAACCATCTACACAAAAAGAGAGGGTAGCTTTGTTTTAGCTTAAGATTAAAAAAAGTGATAAAGTCTATCCACAAGCTTCCCTAGGGCAGGCATTTTTGTCTGTTTACTACGGATACCTGGTGCCTACACAATGAACACTTGTTGAATGAAAGTCCTATGCAATTTACACTGTTATTGGAAGTGGTGAAATTACAAGGCCTGTGTTTCTTGGTCAAATACTTCATTGTTGCATAAATGTATTTGTTTCTGTATGCCAGAATGTGAGAAATTAGAAAAAGATAAGGAATTATGAGATTAAATGGGTTTCCTAAAATCTGAGAAGCTGTCAAGCCAAAGATGATAGCGGCAATCTAAGTTCTAGAATTGAAATGATAAATTTTGTGCAGGAGGGGCAAGGCTTTAAAAAGACCAGAAGGTCTCATCCTGCCAGTGAGCAGGGGGCATCTGAATTCAGTTTGGCCACCTGGGGCCCATTTAGTGCACTAGAACAGTAATTTGCTAAATGAGTTGCTTGTAGTAAAAAAGAATGAGTAAATAGTGAGCAATTTAGGCATGGTAAACCACTAGTAGCTCAAGGGATATAAAAATGTGAAACTATAATTGGATCCCTTGTTCATAATGTACTAACTAAATGTATTACATTGTATATTGCATCTTCCTGAGTTTATTCCCGGACACAGCTGAGCCCTTAAAATTCAGACAGAAACCATCCCAGTGATCAATTCATGCCTCTATTAAAATTCCAACTGCCTATATTAGAAAAAAAAAAAAAAAAAAAAAAAAAAACAACTCCAAAGAGGGTTTCTTTTATCTTAGATCTAAGGATTCAAAGGAGATTAACCTAGATGCAGAACACAGCAAGTCAGTTATAAATCTCGTAGCATAAGATAAACTGTGGCAAGTAAATTGAAAATTATGTTCTCATTTTCTATACTTAGCTGTGAAAATATTTTAACAAGTTGGCATCAGGGTTTGCAACTTTTACATCTGTTGTTTCTTTTCAGGATTATCTTTTAGCAATTTAAGATGTGATTCTTTGAAATGGATGGCTAGCCAGAAATGTGGTATTAGATTATCTGGAACACTTTACTGGGTGGGAGCAGGGCATTCATGAGTTTCGTGGTTTTAGGATATTGGCTGATTCCCCACTATGCTTTTAAGTAGGAGAAACTGCTATTTCATGGGTATCTGGAAAACATTCGCCTTTTCTGAAATCCTTTTCCTGTTCACAGGAATTATATAGTGTGGGTTGGCAGGGATGATCTGAGTGACGTTTCATGACACCAGAAAGCTCAAAGTCCATGTTTCATTGCCCTTCTCAATATGTGTTATTCCAGCTTCCCGGTTCCAGTTTATCTGGTGCTAAGGGAACTATTTTTTATGAACTCATTTTCTTTCTTTCTTTCTTCTCACTCCCAAGTTTAGTAATTTTATTGAAGTTGGAGGTGGGACAGGGAGGGATCACAATGAATCTGCTCTGCCTTCAACTAATTTGAATTTTTCTGGGTACAATAAAATAGTGTCATTCAGATTATGGACACCATGCATGAAATAATTTCTCTGTTGAAAGTATATCATATGTTCTCCCCTTTCCTCTAGTCCCCCTCCCCCCACTGCACACTGCTTTTTCTTTAGGTTGAGACACGATAACACCATTCAGCTTCTCCTTCTCATTTAGTAATTCCTCATACCAAGTCTCTATCTGTCAGGAATATAGAATGACTCCCCACACCCCACCTCAAAACTTTGGATACTAAATGTTCTGAGCTATGCTTTTTCCTAAAGATTTTCTCCTTTAGAAGAGGTGTTTGGGTTAGAAATGCCTTTAAAGAATAAACAAAATTCCTAGAAAAGGCAAAGGGTAAAGCTAAGCAACAGGATCCAGAGCTTGAGTAAGCACAGCACAATAATTTCTTAGAGAGGATCCAAAGAGACATTGGGCTAATGGCAACAGCATTTATGAGCAGAACAAATTCTTCTTAAGTTTGTCACATTAGCTAAGGAAATATAGCTCTAGAAAGCAGCTATATGGGAGTTAATAAGCGCTTCTTAAAATAGCAAAAATTAAAGAGGTTTGTAGGAAGTCAACTAAAGAACTAATGAATATAAAGAGATGTGAACAGTTCATGTTTTAGGCTGAAATTTAACATGCTCCTTTTTTTATTTATTAAAGGATAGCAAAATTAAAATATGGTTCGCTTCAAGAACTAATCATTTGTGTTAGGGGCCACTCAAAGCAACAAACATTAGTATAGTAGCAATTTATCTCCCATCTCATTACCTCTTTTTCTGTCTCTTTGCTGTCTTTCCAAAGACTGATCATTCAGCAAGTGCTCAGTTCCATTTGTTCTAGAAAATGTCATTCAAAGTTAGGTCTCTATTGTCTGACTTCCTAGATTAGGTCAGTTCCCTTGTTTTATTTTTGTCTCTTCCATCCCTCTCAATTGTTGAATGCTTTTCTTCCTCATCTATATATAAGTTCTTTGAAGACAAGGACAGTGTCTGATTTATTCAGTTGTTGTAGCCGAGTGAGTGGCATGTGTTTATAATTATTTGTTAATTGACTTGACTTTCTTTCCTCTCTTGGGAGAATTTGTATGCTCCCTAATTTTTAAAATGGAACTCTGTGCTGTTGGTTGAATTGAAATGGAATAAAAATTAGTTCCAAGAGGCTAGGGGCTAAGACTTCAAAAGAAAACTAGAGGAATTTTCAGGGATTTCCAGAATCAAGAGAAATAATTATATTTTTGTCCCAATAGCTCCCTCCATTCTACTTCAGTGAAACTGTGTGGATAACCCAAGTACTTCGCTTTGTCTCTCCATCCTCTTCTCCCCTCTTCTTACCAAATTCCATTACTTTACTGATGTTAAGGGAGTATGTAGTTTAAAGAGTCTCACATGTGAATATCCAGATTTATAAATCAATCTGGGGGAATGGTAGTTCAACCGAAAGGGTTTGTAACAGGGTGGTCCCCAGGAAAGGGGGAGGTTCCCTGCCCCACCCAAGGGAGGGTGGAGCTGAGCAGGGAGAGGAGACGCTGCAGAGGAGACTGAGGAAGGCAGCAGGATGGAGCCAGGAGACCTGGAGGAGGCACATGGAGCCTAGAGACACATAAAGAAACTGTGCTTGTCTTTTGGTGGTGGACTGAGTGACACAGATGTGGATGAGACCCGTGGGGAGGTGACCATGGCAGCTTTTATCTTGATGTTGATTTTGCTCTTTTCCTTCCGGGCTTGTCTGGTTGTTTCTGACCCTTTTCTGTGGGTCCCCACTGGAAGGTGCTTTAGATTTGTGGCAGGCTTTGGGGCCTTGCTCTGGGCCAATCCCATTTGGATGGAGTTTTACCCACGAAGGGACGGGTAACTTTGGGTACTTGATTTAGAAACTATATTCTTTGCCTTTCCTGTATTGTTTCCTAATTATATTAAAGTTCCTTCCCATTAAAGTCTCATATGTTTTGTGTTGATGCGGCGGATGGCAGAACCCATTTAGAACAGGCAGGTTTGCAGGGTTTGGGCTGCCCCTCCTCCTGCCCTATAACAGGTTCACTAAACTCTTTTAAATAGTTAATTGACCTCACCCAGCCTGCAATATATTGTTTTCACAAAAAACGCAACTTTTCAGACCACAGGAAACATTGTAACAGTAGCAGTGGAAACTCTTTTTTCCTGAACGAAGACCAAAAACCAGACAGGTAAGAGAACACACAGCTCCCAGCCCTTCCACTGTCCTCTCTGTTCTAAGCTACCTCAAACTTCTTGATCCACAGGAAAAACTGAGATTCCAGAACTCTTGAGTTTTTCCTTCTCAGATATAGGAGAGGGAGTGGACCGGCTCGGGGCTGCACGCTTTCCACCAGGCACGTGTGACATGTGTCCCACTTAGAAATTCAGGCACTGCTGCTTTCTCTCGAAAAAGTGGGGGGAAAGTCAAGCGAGCCTGCTGGATGCCCCGCGAGCCTGTGTGTGCATCTGCACTCCCCACAGTGAATGGGGGCGAGCGCCAGGGACCCGGGTCCATTGCCCAGTTCAGCGCCCCCTCCAGCCCTCGCTTTCCATTAGCCTGGAAAACAAAAGTCTCCTGCGCCAACAGGAGCACGGAGTGGGCGAAGTGGGTGAAAGTGAATGAGCCAGACCAAGCCTGGGGACAGGGCTTAACAGCAGAGGGCACAATACCCACAGTCCAGGGCCCGCGGCGGGCGGCGCGCAGGGGCCAGATCCAAGGGTTGCCGGGGCTTGTAGTTCGCCGTGGTTTCCCTCCGCCACGCCCGTCCAGCCACGGAACTACAACTCCCGACGTGCCCCGCAAGGCCCCCTCCTCAGCGCCACCCGCTCTCGGCCCGGGCTGGAACCTCCCGGGAAGCCGCCCCGCCCCGCCCTCGACGCGCGCGTCACGTTTGTTTACCCTGAAGCCCCGCCCCCGCCGTCCCCGCGCTCCCCGCTGCTCGCAGGGATGCCGTCATGCCGGCGATGCATATTCATGAGCCCGCGAGGCGTTCCCGCGCGCCCGCCGCCCGCCTCCCCGCGGCCCGCGCGCGATTAATATTCAATCAGCCGGGCGCGCGGCGGGCGGGGGCGGGGCGGGGGGCGGGGCGAGCGCGGGCGCCCGCGCCGCGCGGGGAGGGCGCCGGGGGGCGGTGGCGGCGCGGCGGGCGTGCGGGATGGAACCCCGGGCCGGCGGCGGAACGCGCCCGCTTGCCACATAATCCCCGGAACCGCGCGCCGAACGCCATTGGCTTCGCCCTCGCCGCGCCGCGCGCCGCCTCCGCCCGCGCCCGCCGCCTCCTCGCCGCCGCCGGCGCGGGGGAAGCGCAGCCGCCGCCATGGAGCCCGCGGCCGCGGCCCCGGCGCCGCGGCGCCCCGAGCCCGGCCGGGAGGAGCGCGCCCCGGAGCCCGCGCCGGCCCCGGCGGCCGCGAGCGGCGCGGCGCGGGCCGAGGCCCCCGGCGAGGGGCCGCCGCCGGGGCCGGGCCGGGCGGGGGGCGCGGGGCGCCGGCGGCGGCGCGGCGCGCCCCAGACGTCCGCGGCCGGCGGGGCGGCCCCGGGGCCCGCGGCCGGCGGCGGCGCCAACTCGCTGCTGCTGCGCCGCGGGCGGCTCAAGCGGAACCTGTCCGCGGCCGCCGCCGCGCCCGCCCCGCGCTGCCCCGGCGCCGCCGGCCCGGCGGGCTCGGCCCCGGCCCCGGCCCCGGCCCCCGCGCCGCTGTGCGCCCGCAGCCTGGACCGGCGGACGCTGCTGCTCAGGCCGCGGCCGCTGCCGCCGCTGCAGCCGTCGGACCGGGACTGGGTGCGGCAGCAGCTGCGCCGGGGCTGCGTGCACGTCTCCGACCGCCTCCCGGCCGCCGGCTGCCTGCGCCCCGTGCTCTGCACGCTGGACACCACGGCCGCCGAGGTGGCCGCGCGCCTGCTGCAGCTCGGGCCCCGCGGCGGCGGCGCGGTGCGGGTGCCCGGCCAGGGGCCCGGCCCCGACGCCCGCGCGCCCCCCGCCGTCGGGGGCCCCCCGCGCGCGCCGCCCGCCGACCTGCCGCTGCCCGGCGCGGGCCCCCGCGGCCCGGCCAGCCCCGCGCGCTCGGACTCCAGCCCCGGCGAGCCGGGCGCCCCGCGGGCCCGCGACGGCGCGGCGGCGGGCGCGGCCTCCGACGCCGAGAGCTTCAGCCTGAGCCCGAGCGCCGAGAGCGCGTCCGACCCGCCGGACCCCTACAGCAGCGGCGGCGGCTCGTCGTCGTCGTCCGAGGAGCTCGACGCGGACCCGGCCGCGGCCCCCGGCCAGCCCCGTCGGCCCGGCCGCCCCGCGCCGCCCCGGCCCGCCGCGGGCGCCCGCGCGCCCTCCCCGACGGCCGCCCCGACCCCGCCGCCGCCCGCCGCCCCCCGGGGCGGGGACGGCCCCGCGCGAGGCCGGCCCGGGCAGGACGCGGCGACCCCCGCGGACCCCGGCCGCGCCCCCCCCACCCCGAGAAGGCGCCCCCGCCGCCCGCCCTGTACGTGCAGCTCCACGGAGAGACCACCCGGCGCCTGGAGGCGGACGAGAAGCCGCTGCAGATCCAAAACGACTACCTCTTCCAGCTGGGCTTCGGGGAGCTGTGGCGGGTGCAGGAGGAGGGCATGGACGCCGAGGTCGGCTGCCTCATCCGCTTCTACGCAGGTAAGGCGGCACCTGCGCGCGGACTCGGGCGGGGGCGCGCCCCCGGGGCCCGAGTCCCGCTCGGGGCTCCGCGGCGGTCGCTTTGCCCGGCCCCGGGGGACGCAGGTCCCCCCCAGGCTGCGTGACTGTCTGACAGCCCGCGCGCGCTCGGCGGGGCTGCCCCGAGCGATTTTCAAACCCGCGACTTTCTGTCCATCGCGAGCGCCCAGGTTGGAAGCAGCGCGAGGAGGTGGCCGAGCCCCGGGCAGTGCGGGGAGCGCTCGCGCCTGAGGGCCCGGCGCGCCCGGAGCCGGGGGGCGCTTCCTCCCGGCCTCTCCTCGCTGGCGCTGGAGGCGCCTTCCAGATCCCCGTAGTGCCCGCGGGGGGAACCGACCCACAGAAACGCTCCAGAACGCGCTGGAGCCCGTCTGCGGTCGACCCCGGTGGCCCTGGTGTGCCCGCAGGAGCGCCTGCCCGGCCGCTGGCCGCTCTCCAGCTCCTGTCGGGCTAGTTTCCCTCCAAGGCGCCACTGGAAACCTGACTGGTGGGATGCCTTCTCGGGGCTGTTTCCCCCCTTTTTGCTTTATTTCAGTTTCTTCTGCAAGTTTGATTTGTGCGTCAAAAGTGATTTCATCTGCTTCTTTCTCTCCTTTCTTCCAGCTTTTATACCCAGAGCTGACCACTGCGGTGGGACTAGCAGTAGCAGCACAATAAGAATTCCAGGAGTTACTGTCTCTTGAGATGTGATTTCAAAGTTTTTGCTCGGTCCTGGATTAAAATTATTTTCGCTTGCATGTTTGTTTGTTCCGACTTTATTGAGCTCTAATTGGCGTATTAGATCAAGCGCCTGACTGGAGGTGACTGCTGTTGTTCTTGGCTGGAGGCTTGGCGCATGCTGAATTAGGAAGCCGTAGATCCTGGTTGTTATATTTGAACTTTATAAAGTTGTTTGCATCCTTTTCCTCCTTGAGCTTGAAGAACTGTGTTCTTAGTGATAAGGAATTTTGTTGAAATAAAATTGGCTTAGCAAAATTAAATCAAGACAGTTAAATCTTCCCTAAGTTAACTCTTCTGTGTTGTGGGTGATCTTAGAAAAAATGATCCTGATTGTAACTCTGTAGCCACTTTCTATGTTTTTTCATTCAGTTTGTGTGGTACTTAGAGTCAGTCAGTTTCAATGAAGAAATCTTTACTCCCACGCTGAAATACACAACGCCAGTAGCATTCAGGGTGAAATGTTACTTTGTTTCGTTGAAGTGTTTGTGTAACTCTTTAAGTGAATTTCTGATTTTTTTTTCCCCTTCTAAGGAAAACTGTAGCATAGTCCAGTAGCATCTGATGGTAGTTTTCCAACTGAATGGCATACCTTGTAAGTTTATGGCCTGAGAAATAGGTGGTGTATTTTATTTTTTTTTGGTTTGCTTTGTTTTTAATGTGGGAGTCATGTTCCTTTCTCCTGTAGCTCATGTAATTTGTAAGATATTGTCATTTTATGAAAGCAGGAAATGATCATCACAGTTGGAATGAGAATAGCTTGTTAGTGTGAGAATGGTAAGTGCCCTTACAACCAAACTAATTTCCCTGAAGGAAATATATATATAGCAAAGGCATATGTAAATTAACAGTATTGACTATATTTTCTATGGAAAGTCTCTGCATCCCATGAATATATTGGTCATAGGAATGATTTTGGGTGTCACAGTCAAAATCTTTGATTCTCCTTGATTAATGTCTATGTCTAAAATGTTTTAAGTGGATAATATACAGGTTTTTTTTTTAAACTTGTCTCAATATGAAAGTGATAAATTATCTTTCTGATTAAATCTTATATTTGCTTTTGCTCTTTATGAACCACAGTAATTGTTAACTTCATCTGAACTGACTTGCATTATTTCCATATGCATAAATATTCTTGAATAGGAAACCCGTGTACAGGTGTCTCAGAAGGTAGATAAGACATCTGTTATAAAGATGTCTGACTTTTTATTTTGGTTTTCTTACAAAGTTTAGCTTATTTTAAGCCTAAATTAATGTAACAAATGTCTCTGTGTCTATTCATTTGTGATAAACCAAAATTTAGCATATAGTGAGTCCACTTGAAGGAAGTTTAGTTGTTGACCAATTAAGGGCCTTGTTATAAGGTGGGCTCACTCGCTTTGGGAACATTATACGGGTTTCATATGCAGCGAAACTCCGTGCCACACTAGAAGAGATTCCTAGAAATTACCCCTGTGCTCCAGGGGAGTGTGGGACACGCAGCAGCAAAGTGTTACTTTTGCTAGTAGCTCCATTTCAGAGAAGAAGAGAACTAATGTGTGCTTTAGACGAAACCCTTGAAGCCAGGGCTGTGTTCCCTGTTGGTTTTACTTACACTCACATTTATTCCCAGGTATCTTTTTGTTTCTGTGTCGTTGGAGTTAAGGACACACAAGAATATTGCTGTTGAAAGCTTTTGATTATTTTCCTGTATTTAAATTCAGTATATTATCTGCTATCTATTTTATATCATCAGTTGGTCTTTGTGAGATGTTCTTGTCCAGCAGGGAACTTTCATTCTCTTTTTTTTTTTTTTTTTTTTTTTTTTTTATAGAGGCATGTTTTATTTATTTATTTATTTGTTTGTTTGTTTTGTTTATACATGCACTGGGCACAGTCAGAAGCGCGGGAGGGTGAGAGAATTCACCAGAGCCAGAGCGGGGAGCAGAGCAGGCAGAAGGACCGAAGGACACTGCTGAGGGGAGCAGCGGGCGGCAGGAGAGGTCTGCGCGCCATGTGGGACCCTCCTCCGGTGGCCGGGGAGCAGCCGGGGATCGAACCGGCGCCGCAGAGGCCGCGGGCAGCTTCGCAACCCAGCGCTCAACCGCTGCGCCACCAGGGAGGCCCAACTTTCATTCTCTTAAGGGTCACTTTTCAATACATTTTAGTATTTATAGCCTAACTTAAGTTATTCTTTAGACATTTTGAAAACCATTTGTGGTTCCTTTGAATGTTTAAATATTTAAGTATTTAGTTGGATAGAATAAAATGAAAGTCTTCAATGAACTAAAGACTTTGAACAAAAGGCACTATCTCATTATGGAGCTGTCAATGAAAACTTACTTGAAAACTGTTTTTGCACTTGAGTATTAAGCAGCCATTCTTTTAGCTCATCTAAAAGATGAAAAAAGTTAAAAGGCTTTATCTGAAGTTACTTATACTAAGTACACTAACATTCGATTCCCTTTAAAATCAACCATCTTAAGTTTTACTTAAAGACTAATTTCAGGTTAAAAAAAATCCGAGAATTTAGGCTGCCTGATAGAAGTCGTGGACTTCAACACGTTAGTGAGCGTGTGTTTTGGACTTGGGGATAAGCTGTGTCATTGATCAAGGGTGGGATTAAACTACTTTTTATAAAAAATGTTTTTGGACCCTTGTCTACCGCCTTTTAGAGTTAGTATAGCTATTTCAGCTCAGATAATAAGTAGTGAGAAGAGATGCTGACAAACTGGAGAGCACGCCCAGTGCGCCTAGTGTATCTCGGACCAGGTGTTTTTATGTGTGACTTCTTGGGGTTGTGAGCAATCCCTTACCCCTCTCATATTTCTTCTCTTTTTCTCTTCTGGGAATGATCAAGCCTTACATGGTTTCCTACATGGAAACCAAGAAGGGGTGGTTCAGGATTAAGCTGTAATATTGACAAGCAGGCTCTTATTACTGTAATTACAGCAGGATTGAGTAACGACGTGGCACGAACATGTGACACCAGTGTGTGTTGGAACAGTCCTTTAATTTGAAGAACAAAGGGCTTAACTTTGTTGGTTCTTATATTTAAAGTTTTATGTTTGTTGTATTTTAATGGGAAGTATGTGCTGTCCTTGCCATCATAACTCTCCTGTGATAACATCTATTAATATTTGGGGGTTATTATCTTCTGAAATCTTAAAGGGCATTCATGTAAATCATGTCATTTATCCTCTCAAAAACACTGCTAGGGAGGAGTAGGTGTCAGTCCTCTTCAGATGGAGAAACTGGTGCACAGAGAGGTTTGACTCTTGCTTGTGGTTTTTCAGTCCTTGCCAAAGCTGAGGAGAGCTGGATAGTCTGTTTTGCAGCTCATACCACTTTCCATGAATCAATGCTGAATTTCATTTACACTTGAATTTTTCACTTGGTTAAAAGCATTCAGAGAGTATGCTAAAGTTGTTGGTGATGAGGAGACATTATCCTCTTGTCCCAAGTGTTATTTCTTGTGACGTATGTATAGCCCTATTTTTTTTTTTATCAGGCTACCTTTAAAAACATAAAGAACCAAGACTGGCAAATTGGTAGTGCCAAAATAGTGCAGTATGGAAAGTGTTCTAAATACCCTGCTTGCTGTATGTGGTCACACTTGCGTTTAAGTTGATATGAAAGAGTTTGCCTAGCAATTTTTTTCTCTCATTCAAGCACTCCTCATTTGTAAAAATAGACCAGAAATCTTCTTTGGATATAGGGAATTAACACTTTATCTGAAAAATGGATGCCTTTTGAGGGTGGAGGTGTGATCATTCAGTTCCTTTAAAATGTATCCGTATTTGTAAAGTACCCATCTTGACAGGTTTGCTTACACCTTTTATTTAAAAAATCTCTACTTTAGTCACCATTAGTGCCTGATTGGTGGTATGCTGCGGTTGTACGTGTTTTAGAATTCACATGTTGTGGGGCGCTACCGAATAAGTAAGCTATTCTCTGTGAATTTCATAGTTGTTCCTAAAATGGTGTGTCCTTGATGTTCACGGAAGTAATTGTAGGGAGAGGAGACGAGTGTAAATGAGTTTGTCCGGGCTCCTGGTTGAAAGCTGTATCATTTTGTTGCTGTAAGATTGTTAAATCAACCCTGCTAAAGGTTTGGCTATCCAATGAGGATTATTATTTTTAAGCGTAAGGTGTTTGTTGTTCGTTCTCTCTATTTTGAGAACTTTGAATTAGCTTTTGGTCTGTTGATAACCTAGCATTCATTAACGTTGTATATGATCCAAGACTATAAAACTTGTCGTTTT